ATGGCTACTAGAACTTAAAATGACATATTTAGTTCACATTTGGGGCTTACACTATACTTCTATTGGACAGAGCTAAGCTAAACAATCAAAGAAACACCACTGTATTAGCCACACCTCTGGGTTCCCAAACAGTTTCAAAATGTGAACAGAAGAAGAGGGGAGGGCAAATGCCAGCAGGAGCAGTTTGAGGACATGTGTTAAATACAGCACCAGCAATAGTAGCAGCTATTTTGTGGTTCTAAGTAATAAGCACAAACAATGACTTTCCAGGAAAGGAGATGCTACAATTACAGGCCCCCTTTTCCCTCTGTCCAGGAGTATCCCAGACACTCCTTCCTGGATGTGGTTCTCCTGCTTACCTTTGATAAGCTCCGGCCTGTATGTCTTACGCAGCTGCTCCAGGAAGCTGTTGTAGAAGCCCTCTGCCTGCTCCGTGGGCATTGCCAGGTGGAAGTCAGGCTTGTTCCCCTTCAGGACACACTGCAGGGTAAACTGGCTGACACAGAGAACCTCGTACTGTTTGTCCATCACACTCTTTGACCAGTGCTTCCCGCCCTCATCCTCAAACATACGCAGGTTTAAAATCTTTCGGACCCTAAAGGGAAAAAGAGCGATGAGAGCTACCTGAGAGATCACAAGCCCCCCAACACACTCCATACCCCCAAAATGTCACCAGCTTCCAGCCAAATAAGGACATAACAATGACTCCAATGCTGACAGGAAGCATGACCTCAGACAAGTCACTTATCCACCCTGTGCTTCATGTCCTCAGCTGCAATATGGAATAACAACAGTCCTACCTCACAGGGTTGTTTTGAGATTGCCTTCTTTTTTGCCAGTCTCTCCAGTTCACAGCAGCTACTGGTGGGAGCTAGGGCTAAGGCGACAACCACCTATTCTCTGCTCCTTTAGGTCAGGGATATGTCAAAACATGGGATTCTAATTTTTCATAGACTAACTCATCACATTAGGATAAATGACATCTATTTTTACACCGCTTCTTGGAGCTGCTCAAAATAAACAATTTGGCTGAGCGGGGTGGCTCATGCCTATAATCCCAACACTTTCAGAGGCCGAGCCAGTTGGATTACCTGAGGTCAGGAGTTTGAGACCAGTCCAGCCACCATAGAGAAACCCCCTCTCTACTAAAAATACAAAAGTTAGCCAGGTGTGGTGGCAGGTGCCTATAATCCTAGCTACTCAGGAAGCTTAGCCATAAGAATCACTCAAACCAGAGAGGCAGGGGTTGCAGTAAGCTGAGATCATGCCACTGGACTCCAGCCTGGGTAACAGAGTGAGACTCTGTCTCAAAAAGAAAAAAAAAGAACAATTCAGCAAATACACGGAGAGAAAAATCATGGTTTTTGCAAATATGCAAAAAGACCTGGAGAAAGACACTTTGACAACTATGTCACATGCTCCTTAAGCCCCAAAGGGGCTTTCCCTATACATGTGGATGAAGGATAGTCACCATGGCAAGAAAGTAGACCAGGTGACATCTATAGGGTTAGATTTGACAAGCACAGCAGAGAACCACCAGCGTGAAAGTTGAAATCTCACCATTTGGGAGTCAACCTTCTGGATGATGTTGAAGTCAATGACAGTTTCAAAGACTCTGCAAATACTACTAATTCACTGACTCTTAATATGGGTATCCTCAGGAGCAGGTGCTACTCATTACCTCCTCTCTACAGCCAAGATTTGTCTTATTTTCAGTCGTACCCCTTAAGTACCAGGCTAAGTACTAGCTCTGTAGTATGTCAAAGCCATAAAGACATTCAAACCCATAGCCTGTTTTTAGCCATTACACTATTCTACTGCTTCTTTGAGTATCCAGGGGACAGCTCCTAAAATATCACCATCACTGAAGTAGTATTGAATGATAGTTATTCATCATCAACACCTTAGCAGGAATTCAGTTTCAAGTCTGATTTTCAATCTAATACAGAAGAGACAGCTGGGCAGGGTTATACCCAGGCTCTGAGCACCAAGGGATGGGATAAATGGATCCAGCAACTAAAGTAAATGTGCTCCATGGTGCTGGAGAGGAGGGGGTACACAAAGGGCGCATTCTGATTTTATGTCTGGAATGAATGGGAGCTGTAAAGTGAACAATCGTTAAGCAGGATTTTAGGGCCACATTTCATCTGTGTTGCCTTGGCTAAGACACCTAAAACTTTCTACAGTGGAGTTTGCCCATCTGTAAACTCAGAGAGCCAGGCAGACAGCAGCAATGGCAACCCCTGCTCCTCAACTGCCACCACCACCTTAGTAAAAAGATCATTGGCTTCAAAGTCTGGGAGTCCAGACTCTAACTGGGGTTCAGGCTTTTTGCTAAGTGTGTGTGCATAATCTGCGGCAAGGAATTTAACCTCTCTGAGTTCTAGATCCTTATGTGCACAGTGAGCTAGTAGGTATTCTAAAAATGCATAGTGCCCAGATAACACTGCCCAATTGAAAAAAGAGAAACCAAACGTAAGAAAAGAGGCTTCGTTTTTGCATTAAAAGAACAAGAGGCATGATCTGAGGCCATAGCAGCAAATGGACAGAGGATAGGCGCTGTTCCTGCTCCAAGGCTGACTTAACGGTGAGGTCTCCCAGATCACTCTTCCTCGGTCTCCTCCTCTGGAACACGGAGACAGCCATACTACATCCAGTGGGACAATGGTTAAAAGTGACAGGGGCTCGCTTCACAGGCACATAATACTGTGGAATTTCCCAGCATAACCACCATCACATAGCCCACTCAAATAGCAATGATAGAAATGCATCTTACATGTGCTCCAGTTCCTTCTGTGTATCCTCCAGGGAAATACCCAGCAATACACATATGCCCCTTCCAATGGCACTGATCTGCTCTCCTCCAACTAGAAAGGAACGAAAAGGGAAAGAAGAACTCAGAACCAAACAAGGGCATGAAGCACTTTTAAGTAACCAAAGGAGTGTTTTAAACATCATACATTATATATAGTCAGTATATAGTCAAAAATGAAAAGAGTTACATAAATGCAGTGAGATGATAATAATTGCCATCCATTCTGATTTTACCTTTGGAATGAATGGGAGCTATAAAGTGAACAACCATTAAGCAGGATCTTAGGGCCATATTTCATCTATGTTACCCTGAGAAAGACACCCAAAAGTTTCTATGGTCAAGTTTGCCCATCTGTAAAAACAGAACTGTGTTTTCCTATCCCAGAGAAGCCAGCTCAGCTATATTAGAAAGGAGATTCCTGCTTTTTGTGGAAAATCAGCAAATATGGTAACACAGTATACAGGAAGCACAAAGTGGAAAATGTTCATGTCATAAAAACAAATGATTTTCCTACCTACTATGAAGACAAATACATAATACATAAAAATCACAATTTATGTGTTAAGCTTCAACTCATCAAACTGCTATTATTTCCCACTTCAGTTCTGTGGTTACATTCTAACCCAATGATCTCCAAATCTTTTTCAATCATGCACGTTGACCATAAAAAAATAAATAAATAAAAGTCTCTAAGCCCACACTCCTAATGTTTGCATATGTATTTATAACCAAATGTATGCCCTAATACCATTAGACAGCCTCTCAAATGGTAGCAAGAAGCATCATCATGGGCCAGGCATGGTGGCTTATGCCTGTAATCCCAGCACTTTGGGAGGCTAAGGCAGGCAATCACATGTAGTCAGGAGTTTGAGACCAGCCTGGCCAACATGGCAGAATCCCATCTCTACTAAAAATATAAAAATTAGCCAGGCACAGTGGCGGGCGCCTGTAATCCCAGCTACCCAGGAGGCTGAAGCAGGAGAATTGCTTGAACCCAGGAGGTGGAGGTTGTAGTAAGCCAAGATCATACCACTATGCTCCAGCCTCAGTGACAACAGTGAATCTCCATCTCAAAA